AAACACTGGCTCTAGACAGGGCAGTTTGAGTTTTTTATTGTTACACTGTAGAATCACTTGGAAGGGGAGCGTGAAGCGAGGGAGTTGCGATCTGCAACTACAACGTTAGGTGGCACTAAAACCTACACACTGGACCTGAAGAGCATGTGGACAAAATTACTTTTTTGATACTTAACGTATGAACAGTGCTTCTTTTCTGTGGTGTGAGAGTTGCTGCTGTGTGTGTGTGTGTGTGTGTGTGTGTGTGTGTGTGTACAAGCACTCTGTTTACTCTCTGGAAGGTCTCTGATTGGAGTGTGTCGGCCTGCTAAATCAGTAGCACCTGGGCCCAGAGTCAGTGTGGCTCTTTCATATTCCTCCACACGTGCATGCTGTTGTTGTTATTTGCCTTTTGGTTTTCTTCTCTATATGTGCATTCAAGTGCCACAAGGCTCAGAAAATGGCACACCTAAATAGGATGCAGCCGTCATTATATTTCTTAATTACCGTGTTTTTTTCTGCAAAGATGTTTCAAAAATTTGGTACATGGTATAAGAGGCAAACATTTGAAGGTCTGCACACCCACACTGGTGTTTTCTGTTCCTGTGCTGATTAGACCTCTGCTCAGGTCAATGTTGGGCAGGATGGTTGCACAGCAGACATTTTGGCATGTCATAGCAGCAAACTCACAGGTGAATTAATGATTAATGATTAATAATGATGCATTCCACTTAGGAAAGGTCCTGCTCTTGTGCATGCTGTCACTGTTACTGAGTCCATCAAACTTTATGTACTAATGAGAATAATAAAGGTGTAAGAAAACAAATACAAAGCTGTGTCCAAAATCACTCCCTATTTATTATGTAGCGCATTGTATTTAGTGTCCAAATTGTGAGTGTGAAATGTATGAAGTATATAATGCCCTAAATTCCAGCAGTAGAAATCAGTAAAATGTGAACACTGCGACTCTATGATGATGATTCATAATGTCTTAAATCCCAATTTACCGCTCACAATAGGGTAATTTATTATAAATTATAAAGTGTCTATTATACAAGGATTACTGAATGAGTGAAAGAGACGCAGATGGAGATGTCAGTCAAGCACAGACTGAGAGGAGCTCTTGTGGACTGGCCAGTTATCAAATTCAGTTACAATCTCAGTAACAACAGCAAGCTTCAGTGTTGCGGCAATGATCACCTGAATGTATCCTTCTACTTTCTTAGAGGGATACGTGATGCATTTTAAGTAGGACATGTGTATTTTGGCAGTGTCAGGAGCTGTTTATAAATTAAGTGTGCATATTAAAGCTGAAATTAAATGAAATTACTATGTGCAGTGTGAAAGATGTTAGTCAAAGTGATGAATGATAATTATCACATGACTAATGTTCCCTTGAGCTCTACGGGTGTTTTAGCTTCTTTTAGCTCAATGTTTTGGTTTACTGTACAGTACTGTAAGCGGCAGACAAAGTTAGTGTAGTGATCGTAGTGGAGCATTCACAGCTTGAGAGCGATAGCTAAAAGGCTCTGATTATTGGACTTGCATTCAACAAGTTGCCAGATACATGGCTCCAACTGAATGATAATGTTGCTCCGTGTCTGCTGGATGTGTAAATAGTGAAGTATTGCTATACACGTTTCCTGTATCAACTATCTCAGGTGATTACAGCTTGTTCCATGCAGCCTAAAAATTTTACTATATTCGCAAATAGAGAACTGAACCTCTCAACCAGAGAGCACAGTCCTGCTTGTCTTTGTGTTTTTAGATGTATTAGATTTATGGATTATTTTGTAATCTTCATATATCAGAAATTGTGTCATTAAAATGTTTATATAATGTAATTTTGTTGGTTTGTTCCTTACACTTGACATCTATTGTATCTCTGACTGTCCTGGGAGAAGGATCCCTCCTCTGTTGTTTCCTGAGGTTTTTCCTCTGTTAAAAGGGTTTATTGGGGAGTTTTTCCTTACCCGCATCGAAGGTTTCAAGGACAGAGGGTGATGAATGTTGTACAGCCCCCTGAGGCAAATTGTGATTTGTAATTTTGGGCAATATAAATAAAAAAATACTTCACTCTTTCTTCTCTCTGTCTCTTGTTCTCTCCATCTGTGTGTGCAGGATGTACGATGTTGGAGGCCAGAGGACTGAGCGGAGAAAGTGGATCGGTTGTTTCGAGGATGTCAGGGCGGTGCTGTTTGTGGTGTCGCTAAGCGGTTACGACATGACCCTGGTGGAAGACCCCTCCATGGTACAGGCTGCACTCGGATCAGTCCCTCACAAATGTTTATGCTCATCTGTCAAAGCAACTGGAGAGCACTTGTTATGTCTCACCCAATAAGATTATATTCTGTCCTCGTAGACCAAGTTTTAAAAGTGACTCTGCTCTCTGTGCTCCTCTGCACCTCTGCAGCTGTCTGATGGTGTTATTGTCTCCTCTCTGTAGAATCGTCTTCAGGAGAGCATGAAACTCTTCGCCGCCATCTGCAACAACGTTTTCTTCCGCAGCACATCCATGGTGAGACACCCACTTCGTCCACCTCAGGAGGAATGATGCAGTCAAAAACATTAATTTAAAAGTATATTTCAGACTTGGAGAGATTCCTCCTGTTAATTTGCAGAAAAACGGTTTCCTAAGTCACAAAAAACTGACGCTATAAAAGATCATGGGAGTCTTTATCAATGGAAGTCTAGGGGAGTTTGATTCATGGGCGTTGCAATCAGCAACTGTACCACTAGATGCCACTAAATTCAGTGCAGACCCCTTCCAGGTGTACTTGCGAACCCTGTTTACAGGTTGCATATGGTTCTGTATGGGACGGAGCACATGGATGAAAAGGAGGAGACAGTAACAAAATCTCTTTGTAGCTCTCCATTTGTTCTCTATGACACCATAAGACAAGAATAACACTAATGTGTTTTATAAATGCTGTTTCCACAGACACACAAACAGGGCCCGGTCTCAGCCCTTTGTCTCCGAGTCTTCTGTCACTCGTAATTAAACGTCGTGTTGTAATTAGGGTGAGCTTTGGCGAGGTGACATTTTCCCCTCTGTGTTTTTCCGTTCCCGTTTCCGGCAAATGATCACATTAAAACAAGCGTGTAACGAGCTTGTTCAATTTATTCTACTCAACTCGTATTTAAAGCCCACTTAAAATACAAGTCACTGCATGTTGACACCAGCGACAGCTGCTGTTAACTCTTTGTGAACACTGGTTTTAACTTTTCGGACAAGCCTCTGTAGAAAGAAAACTCAGATCTCTGGCCCTTGAGAGGGTTTATGAATAAAAACTCAGTGTTTCAGCTTTTGATACATTAAGATCATGAGGATAAGTAATTTACTGTCACTAAATAGATCACCACAGACACAGAAAGTATCAAAAACCTGCAGCGTTAAAAGGATCTCTTTTTGTAAATTATTCTTTTTTGAACCATAAAGAAATGTTATTTAAGGCTTAATTAGAGCCAAATGGGCAATTAAATATCATTGTGTGACGTGTGTTTATGTGCAGGGTTGTGTGTGGGCCAGCACGTTATTATGGCTAACAGGCTCATTAAACAAAAGTGTTTAATGATACCTTTTTAACGTGGGAGGGAAATTTGTAACCTCCACCTCAATTAACTCTATCACTGTGGCTGGTCAGTGGTAATTACACACCTAGGTTTCACTCCGTATCCTGTTCTACCTCATCCCTCCCTCGTTATTATAAGGGGCTTTTTTGTGTGTTTGTTTTTTTTTGTGATCAAACAGGCCGGAAAAGGGAGAACTTGGTTGTAGTTTTAATTGGTTGACTACAAAGCAGAAAGTACCTGTGAAACATGGTGGCAGCTGAGCAGAAGTTGAGTTTAGAGGCAGTAAGAGTAAACGACAGGAAGACGGAGATTTATGAAAGTGGTAGCTGAGCTTGTTAAGCGCCTGCACTGGAGACTACATGAGTGATCGATTGCACACTGACGAGTGCAGCGAGGTCATTGATCGGCTATCATCCCCCCATGCTAGTATCAGCACGGCTATTGGTTGTAAAGAGACAATAAATGTGACTGTAATATTTGAATCTGATATATTGGTTTCATCATTTGG